CGGACCCGCGGCGAAGTTGGGCGGGACCCCGAGACCCCGGCCCGCGCACCTGCCGTCAGGTGCCCAACCGCGAGCGCGCCGCGCGGGCCGGGGCTTTTCTTTCTCGGGCCCGGGAGCGCGCCCCCGCCCCCCGCCCGCCCCTTGTCCGAGCCGGAGGCGGTGCCCCCCGCCTCTCCACCCCGGGGTGGCGGCCTCGGGAGCCCGGACGTTGCTGCGGGCCCGGCGCCCCTGCCCTGCCCTCCCCACCTGCTTCGCCTTTAGCCCGCGGAGGTCCGCTGCGAGGCGGGAAGGCGGGGGCGAAAATACACGGCCACGTGCAGGGGAGCGCGTGGTCGCGCAGGGCCCACCCGGCCGCGTCCACCTGGGTGCTTCCGCCGGCTCGGCCGGTGCTGCCCTGCCCGGCGGTGGCTTCCACCCGCGCTCCGGGGGAGAGGGCGGGAGGGCAAGGAGAAGGGGACTCATGACCGATGTCACGTTCTGAGCAGCTGACCTGCCAGGGGTTCCCCGGAGGGAGGCCCTGATGTGGAAGCTTTGGGTGGGGAGGGGGACAGGGCGAACGTGTCCCTTCTCCCGAGCCCCGTGGTTCTCAGTTTTCTCATCGGTGAGTGGGGGGCTCCATCTCCTCTAAGTCCGATCGCGGCTTCCTCTGTGATCCTGCCGCGTTCGGGACACAGTGTGCCAGGGTGCCGGCTTCCGCACACCTTTCCGGGAGCCTGGGGAGGGTACAGGAAACGTGTCTCTCTCCACCTAGGTCTCCCTTAGGTAAAAGAAACCGCTCTGCCTGCTGTCTCTGATCGTACTGCTCCTCGCCACGTGTTGTGGCGTCTTTTGACAAAGACTCCACATTGGTGGAGTTGGTGTTTGGGGCCGCTGGAAGTTCCTGCTCTCCGAGCTGTGTTAATGATTATGCTGCTGTTTACCTGTCGCGCCGCTCTCGTGGTCGGGGGCAGAAGTGCTCCCCTGCCAAATGAATTGTCAGTGTGGAAGATCCCGCCACCTTCCCTCACCAGGTGCCCGGCCCGGGAAGCTCCCTGGTCTCGAACACCCACGCCCCACACAGCCGATAGAGTCAGTGGGTTCCGGCAAGTGTGGCTTGGGTGTCCCTTCTCCCTGCCCCTTCTCCCTTATTGGCCTCGGTGAGGATTTGCCCTTACAGCCCTCACCGCACAGGCATCTTGATAAAGCGCAGCCGTGTGCCGGGCCGTCTCCGATCTGCCGCCTTCTGGGGCTGGGCTCTTTAAAGAGCGTCCGTCTAAGCAGGTGGGAGGGGTCCGGAAGCGGACGGTGGGCTGTGCAGGTAGGTGAGACTCACTTGCCAGCCTCTCTCGCTTTGCTTTGTGCTTTGCGGGTAGCTGACACCTCTGGAGGACTTCCCTCCCCAGGGCAAACCAGTGGGAATGCTTGAGTTTGAGCTCCTTAGAGGGGGTCTGCTTTGAGAACTTAACGAGGGGATCTCTCCTGGTTCCAAAATGAAGTTTGCTAACTCGAAAACACAAAGCAAGTCTTCTCTCCGGAGCGCACTTGCCTTCCGCGCTTGAACGGAGCTGGACTTTAAGGGACGCGTTCCAAGTTCAGCCTCACTCACTTTCAAGGTGGTTGCTAAAAATGGGAGTTGAATCGGGGCTCCTCGGGGAAGTTGGTTCCGGGGCTCGCTGCGTTCCAGCCCCATCTCCAGCGCCCGGGCTGTGCTGAGGGAGGCCGCTTTCCGGAGGTTCTCCGCGCCCCTGTCCACCGCGCTGTCCCTCTTGGGGCTCCGGTAGCTGAGAGTCTGTTTACCATCTCAGGCGGCGGACAAGTCCTGCCCGCGTCCTGGCTGTTCCCGGGTCTAAAGGTTTCTGGAGTGGACTTTCTGGCTTAGGGTCCAGTCCACACGGGAAATGGAACCCGGGCAGCTGTGAGCGTTCTCTGTGTGGCTGTTCCTCGGAGCAGTAAACAGTGACTCACCCTCCCCTCTGCTCCCCGCCTCCCTGCTCCCTGCTCATGGAAGATGCGCTGCTCCCGTGTTTACTTTTGCTTTTTGTCAGTCATGTTTCCTCTTTCTTGCAGTTTCAGGAAATTGAAAGTGTTGTCTTCAAATCATAGAACTTCAGAACGGGTAGAAATGAATGTAGGGATCATGTCATACACGTACCCCCCACCCCCACCCCATTTTACCCAAGGACACCAAGCCCGAGGCCTCGGTACCTGGCCTGCGGCCGCGGAGTCTGACATCCGGGGTCTGGGGTGGCACCCTGCCTGCTTTTCTGCGCTGCCTCTCGGCTGCCCTGGATGAGGGGAGGCTGGAGAGGTATTGAGGTGGGGCGCCCAGACCCCGCTGCCCTCGGGTGCGGTGCTGACGCACGTCCCCAGGCAGCGTGCCTTTCACTCGCCAGGGGGTGCGGGGAGCAGGTGTAGGTGAGAATGTCCCCCGCCCTCCATCCAGCAAGGGAAGCGAGCCTTGGACGGAAAGATCAGGACCAAGTTTGGGGCACGGCCCTCGATGGAGGCTCAGGAGAGGGTGTCCGCCTACCACGGGGAGAGCAGGAGGGGGCTTCGGTAAAGCAAGGGCTGGGGAAGGAGGGTGGGAGCCCAGCACAGACGCAGGCGGAGGCTTGGAACGCAACAGGTGGTCCAGGCAGTGAGGGGCTCAGGAGGAACTTCAAGCAGGGGGTTTTTCTACCACCTTGAGGCGCTGCGTTTGAGGGACCGAGGTCCAGATGGAAGAAGCTGGGGCCTGAGCCGGGGAGTCCTGGAGGGCCAAGTCCAGCAGGCCCGGCTCAGCAGGTGGCCACGGAAGGAGGGACAAGGTCTTGGGGGCGACTGCAGCGTGAACGGCGTGATGGGTCATTACCTGAGCTGGAGACACAGGAGGAGGGCGGGTGTGAGGACAGGACACGTCTCTGGGGTCTGTCAGACACGCAAGCTGTCTCAGCCTGGCTGCACGTGGAGGTGGGGGGCTGGTGGGACCCCTGGGCAGCTGTGGAGCGAACAGAACCCCAAAGGGAGCTTAGAGACAGAAGGACCCCCCAGAGGGGGGCCAGAGGAGTGGGGGGCCAGGGCGTGGCCAGGGAGGTGAGGCGCTCGGCCCGCTGTCAGCCTGGCAGCCGCCTGAGTCACCTCTGGACAGAGCCAGGATGACACAGCTTCCTCGAACCGCAAACACAAGGTGACCAGACGTCCTCCGAGCCAGGCAGACAGTCGTGTCTTGCCGGAGGGCGGCCGGCCAGGGCCGGCCTGCAGGCTGGGTGTGGGCCGGGCTGGTGGGGGGCCCGGCGAGGAGCGGCAGGACGCACCCCCATGTTGAGGGAGCCGGATGGGACACGGACACCCAGTATCTGGGGTGGGCGGGGCGTGGGAGCCCTTCCCGGTCCTCCTGGGGCCCGTCTTCGGTCGGGTGAGGCGTCCGCGTATGGGGCGCGCTGGCCGTGCTGACCTTTGCTCGCGGGGCAGGTGCGTCCTGTGGCGCTGGCAGGAGGGGCGCTCGGCACCCGCGGGACAGAGGCAGTCACGTCAGCGTGGCTTGTGCCTTTGGGGTTTGCACCCATCGGGGGAGTGCAGACGTGCTCCGGGACAGAGCCCCTTTCCTCCCTGCCTGTTTGCCCCCTGCCCCCTCCCTCTCCCTGGACCTGCCGCCCTGGGAGAGCCGGCGTGGAACAGTCGTCTGGGAGGGCCGGGTGCAGCCGGCCGGGGAGCGGTGGGCGCCCTCACTCCACACCGAGCGGGAACAGCTGTTTTCTGAGACCCCCCCCCCGCTAGGTGCCGGAGCTGTGGCTTCCTGTGCACGTGAAGCTCCCCGTCTAGTCTAACCGACCTAAGAGCCCCGTGAGACTCTAAACTCCCTTTTTTGCCACACCATCTAGACCCAGGGCCGTTTGGCTGTGGCCATTGCTGCCGTCAGCCACCTGGCTTTACCGGTGGAGAAAGCGTCCCCCCCGGGCCCCGAGCCTGGGTCCAGCCCCGCGAAAGCCGCAGCACAGCGGGGATGATCCGGGGCCGTGAGTCGCCCCAGATGAGCTGCGTCAGACGACGGACGAGCGGTACACGTTTGCTGGGGGGGTACAGGGGGTGAGATCCTGGCCTTTGGAAGGGCGGTCCCGTTGTTCGTGGGCCTCGGGAGGGAGGGCCAGCACCGGCTCCCTCACTTACTCTCAACGGTGCTGTCCCCAGAGCCGGGCCCGGTCCGGGCTGCTGGCACATGTCTTTTAGAGCGGTCTCTGCCTTAACCTCATGTAGGGGCGCGTCAGAGCGAATTTCCGGCGTTGGGTTGAAAACCCATCTCTTTAGTTGGGGAAGTGGTCGCCTGAAAGGTGTTCCAAGTTAGAAGTGCTGACCGCGCAGACTGTCTTGACCAGAAGCTTCTGGAGGGCTGTGGGAGACTGTCCGTGCTCTCACTGGGTGGACGGACAGGCAGGCGGGCACGGAGGAGGCCCACCTGCTCCTGGCCCCCCCACCCCCCCACCCCCCCCCCGGCTCCGGCCACTGAGCCGCTCCCGCGACTTGACGGGAGTTCAGAAGAGCCGGCGGAGAGCGCGGGCTGCGTGCACAGCCCGGCTGGCGCTGCCGTGACCGATGGTTGTGGGGCCCGATCCCCGGAGCGACCCCTCGTGAAGCTGCCGGGGGCAGGGTGGGTGATTTCTTACACGGCGACGGGGCGTCCGGCCTGCGGCGGGAGGGGAGGGAGGCCGAGTGGCTGGTGCACCTGCCTCTCAGGCTGTGTCCTCTCACCCCGGCTGGGTTCCCCCCGAGTCTCAGAACACAGTTCTTCCTGTGTGCACTCTGGTGGCCGAGGAGGTGGCCTGAGGTGCAGCGGTTTATAAATACACGTTTTAGGGCAGTTGTTTTAAAATCCTTTGTTTTGCACACCGTCACAAGCGCCAAACTTCTCTCTGAGCCTGTTTCCAGAAGCTGCCGGGTCTTTGCCTTTCGTGCAGGAAGCGACCTCGGGTCACTACTGCGTGTACCTCGTGTGGCTTGGGTAGAGGTGAGCCCTCGTGCCCTTACTGTCCGGGTACTGAGATCTCGCGGGAAGGGCAGCCGGGGCCAACCCTGCGCTCCTGGAGCCCGGCCCCTGAACCTGCAGCCCAGGTCTGCGCACCGCCTCTTGAGGCGGGAGGACACTCCTGTTTTCCGGCAGCCGGCGGAGACTTCCTGCGGGGTGGGTGCCTGAACGGGGGGCAGGAGCCAAGACCTGGTCTGCCCGAGGCTGTGGGGGTCGTGTCTTCGAGCGCGGGGCCGTGGGGCAGTGTCTGCTCCTGCCTGGGGCTTGCTCACCTGGCCCAGGGTCTCTGGCTTCTGGAGGGTGCCGGTCCAGGCCCCCGGAGCCCTGGGGGTTGAGAGGGAAGCCCCCCGGCCCCCCCCCCCCCCCAGTCAGGGCGTCTCCTTGAGTCACCTGCTCGGCTCCGCCGAGGCCTTTGCGAGGTGGACAGAACCTGGGGCCCCTGCTTCTGATGCTCTCATTTCCAGAGGAAGAGCGTAAGGCCGACAGAGAGAAGAGCTTTGCTGGCTTTTTCTCCAGGTTCGTGTCTACGTTTCCTCCTGTTCTCTCAGGCCTCACGTTGTTCTTGTTGGACAGAAGGTGTGAGAACTGCAGGAAGTCCCCGGAGGTCAGACCCCCTCGTGGCGCCCTCCCGCAGAGAGGCATCCCTCCTCGCTTGGAGCCCAGGCCGGCCCGGGGGTCCCGCTTCTCCCGTCTCTGCCCGGGCTCTTGTCTGTGTCCTGCCCGCAGAAGGCCAGGCAGCTGGGCAAGGTGGGTTCAGAGCTGGTGGACTTAGGGCTTTCCCCAGGTGACCTTGACCTTGCAGACCTGCCAGCCGACCCTCGTAGGTCTGTGTGGAGGGGAGGACGCAGAGCCCAGTCCTGCGTAGCTCCTGCTTACCTGGGCCTCCCCGCCCCGCGCTGTCACGGAGGGCAGGTCCCCAGAGGGGGCGGGGCGTACCTGCCCTGAACGCAGCGCTGTGGCCCGGGGTCCTGGCTGAGCTGGCCCATCATGGGCGGGGTGGGGGGGATGGTGAGGCACAGAAACCCCTGTCTGGTAGGGGTCTGAGCGGAGGTCCCTCCTCCGCTGGGGCCGGGCGGGCTGGGCGGTCCGTGCAGGGTGGGAGGGCCTTGGGTCTGTGGGAATGTGAGCTCCTCGCTCTGTAAACAGGCGTGACTCACCACACAGCTATGCCCTGGCGGCCCAGGCCCTTGTGCGCTGACGTGTGCTGGAATGACACCCGGCCACCCCTCCTGCTCCCGTGGAAAAGTTTCTCATGGCTCTCCCCGCCGCCTGGCTCCTGCTGGCCCTCCAGGTGGCTTTTCTAGCATGGCTTTGACCCCGGGACCTGGAGGGAGGGGCACTCAGCGGGCCCGCCGTGCCCCTGCAGATGCTGGGGGTCAGGCCGCTGTCAGGAAGCAGCTCCCGTCTTCCCGCTGGGGTCACCCCACGCTGTAGTGCGTCTGCCTCCCGCGCGTGTGTGGGTGGCGCGGAGGAGCCAGAAGCCTCCTGAGGGTGCACCTGGCCCCGGCCCTGCTGCTGTCCTGCTCTCCATCATCCGTCGTCAGTGCCTGGGACAGTGGCCGTGTTGCCAGAGGCAACAGTGAACCAGGGGGTTCGGTGGCCCGGGTGCTGAGACCTGGGAGGCAGGTGGGCTGTTGGGGGCGGGTGGCGTCTAGGCTGTGCTGTAGCAAGGGTCCTGGGGCTGTGGGCGAAGGAGGGGTGGAGACCGTCCACCCGAGCCCCACTCGCCCCCAGGGTGAAGGCTTTGGTGCGGCTCCGTCTCTGGGGCCCGGGTCCCCCCCCCCTTCCCCCGTGCGTTTTCTGATGTTCTCTCTGCTCAGTTCACCTTGCCTGGCATTTGGAACGTGGACCCCGGTTCCTAAGCCAGCTACAGAATGTGCCAGCACGTCTAGAGCCCGGGCCCTCCCGCCCCCCACCCCAGCCGCCGGGGCACACTGGATTGTTTACTGTCCCACAACCTGTGATGTCTGCACCGGCCTGCCCAAAGCCATTGTTGCTGTGGGCTTCTCTGTTTCCATGACGACCATCAGGGGCTGGCTACTTCCCAAGGTCGCCATGGCAACTATCAGAGGGGAATCATGCTTGGGATGCTTTGGCTGGCTTTTTCATGAATGATTAGAATGTGTGACACAATGCAGACGCCAAAACCAGAAGGGCGGGCAGCGGCGGGGAGGGGGGGTGCTGGCGGGTGGCGGGGACGGCTCCCGCCAGACAGCCGGTGAGCTCGCGCAGTGGCGGCCCCTACCTCCCGGATCCTGCGGGCCTCAGGTCAGGGCTGTGGGGCAGCCTAGGCGGGGGTGGTGATGTCACAGCTGCAGTGCCCTTTGCGGAGGTAGGTCTGCTAGGGAGGGTGGGGCTGCACCCGTCCCTGGGGGTGTGCTGGGCAAACGCAGGGGCTCCCCAAAGGGGCCCTCCCTCTCAGGAGCCAGGCGAGGTCAGGAGTCACGGGGGCTCTTGCCCGGGCAGGGTGCCGTCCTGGGGGCCAGCGGTGCTCCTCGTGTGCCGGGTGGGGCCGTTCTCGTGAGGGGGCTCTGGGTCCGTGCGCTCTGGCCCTTCAACGTGGCGTCCCGTGCCTCGAGGGTGCGAGCGGCTCAGCTCAGAGGGGGAGTCGGACGGGAGGCAGTGGCCGCCCGGGCTTGGTGCCCCCCAGGCGGGTGGCTGCCAGCGTGGGGGCCGGGGTGGGTCTGGGTTGCTTCGTGGGCTGATGCTGGACTGGGCAGCGTGGCCGGGATGCCCACCCTGCGGGGAGCCCCCTCCGTCCCGGCTGCCTCCTGTCTTGTTTTCGGGGGGGACGTGGACCGAGGAGCCGAGCCTCCTTGGAGCGTCTCTGTGGTGGGGACGTCCCCGTTTCAGGTCACGTGCGACGGCAGCCGGCCCCGTCCCCAGCCTGGCCAGAACCTCACCTCACTCATTTCTGTTTCTTGTCTGATTTTCTAGATCCAGTTTCCAAGCCCTTCTGTTCGGGTGACTGTGCCCAGGTTATGACGACTAATCCCAAACCAAACAAGGCATTAAAGGTAAGTGGGGTGGGGGTGGGCAGACCCCGTTTCTGCCTCGGGCTCAGGCTTGGGAAAGGTCCGTTCCAGCCCCAGCAGCCCCTCTTTCCCAGGACTGCCCTGAGTGTGAAGAGGGAGGTCCTGTCCCCTGCAGTTGGGTGGGGGCTGTTGGCCAGCAGAGCCGTGCCAGGGAGCTGGGGACAGGATTGGGGGTTGTGGCCTCAGGAGATGTGGGCCCCGGCGTCCACGGGGATGGCCTCCTTGGGAGGGAGTGGCAGGTGTGGATCCCTGCCTGCTAGGACATGCTCATCCCCGGCCCCCAGGGGTGGGCTGCGTGGCCTCCGTCCCGCAGTACCACCGGCAGGGCACGTGTCAACCTCGGCACTCCTGCTCGCGGGGCCCGGCTCCGACCAGGCCCAGCGTGCTGCCTCCCCGGGCCCTCCCAGCTTCTGAGGCTGGCGTGGGCTCCTGGGTCGGCTGTCTCGTCTTGGGAACAGAGCTGGGTCTGGCGGGACAGGGGACCTCCGTGCATTCGTGGGCCATGCACGTCGAAGCCCCTTCCGAGGCCCCACTTTGTCCGAGGGGTGTGGAAGCACAGGCTGCTGTGCCTCCCTGCGGCTCACCTGCCTGGGTCGACCCCGCTCACCTGCCTGGGTCGCCCCCGTTCACCTTCCTGGGTCACCCCCCCCCCCCCACCTCACTCACCTGCCTGGGTCCCCCCGCTCACCTGCCTGGGTCACCCCCCCCACCTCACTCACCTGCCTGGGTCGCCCCTGCTCACCTGCCTGGGTCAACCCCACTCACCTTCCTGGGCCCCCCTCCCCCACCTAACTCACCTGCCTGGGTCCCCCCCCCCCCCCGCCTGCGTCGCCCCGCACCAGGCACTGGAGACTCACAGAGGGCTGCGCACGGGTGGGCCACAGCCTCGCAGGTTCTGGACGGCAGGTGGTAACCAGGTGACAGGCAGGCGTAGCGGGGATCCCCGTCAGGGAGCCACCCGCGTTCTGCCGCGTGCGTGATGTCGGGAGGCCCCCTGCCCCGACGGAGGCGTGAGGGCCGGCTTGGGGGGCAGAGAGGGTGCCTCTGGGCGTTCCTGCTGCCCGGGACCAGGCTCTCGTCCACGCGGCCTCCGTTCCCGGGCAGACGCCGGGCCGCCCTCCGGGGCCCTTCCCGCCACCCCCTCCTCCGCGCTGACCGCCGTGCCGCGCGGCCCCCGCAGGTCAAGAAGGAGGCGGGCGAGAACGCCCCGGTGCTCAGCGATGACGAGCTGGTGTCCATGTCGGTGCGGGAGCTGAACCAGCACCTGCGGGGCCTCACCAAGGAGGAGGTGGCCCGCCTGAAGCAGCGCCGGCGCACGCTCAAGAACCGCGGCTACGCCGCCAGCTGCCGCATCAAGCGCGTGACGCAGAAGGAGGAGCTGGAGCGCCAGCGGGTGGAGCTGCAGCAGGAGGTGGAGAAGCTGGCGCGGGAGAACAGCAGCATGAGGCTGGAGCTCGACGCGCTGCGCTCCAAGTACGAGGCCCTGCAGACCTTCGCCCGCACCGTGGCCCGCGGGCCTGTCGCCCCCACCAAGGTGGCCACCACCAGCGTCATCACCATCGTCAAGTCCGCCGACGTCTCCTCCGCCTCCGTGCCCTTCTCGGCCGCCTCCTAGTGGCCCGCCCCCGGGAGGGGGAGGGGGAGGGGGAGGGGGGGCGGGCAGGGGGCGCTCCCCCCCCCCCGCGGGTGCCCGCCGGAGGGTCCGCGTGGCGCGGACCCCTTGACGCCCCAGTCGAAGCGCAGACTCCCGGCGGGGACGAGGCCGAGGGTGCGGCCGCAGATGGGGTCTGGCGAGCCCGCGGGCCGCGCGCCTTCCCGCACGCGCGCGCGCGCACGCGCACAGCCGGCCCTCCCCCGGGCCCCGCCGGCTCTCCCCAGAAGGTCTCCGGGGGCGCGTGTCTCGCGCCGGGGGGCGGCGTCGGGGCGTATGGAGGGAAGGTCCTCAGAAGGTCGCCGGCCCTGTGGCCTGGATGGCGGGGGCTCTGTCCGCCACCCCTCCCGAGAGTGGCCTGTCGTGGTCCGGCGGCCGGTGCGGGCGCCCCCTCCCTGCCCTGACTGAGCTCTGGGTGCCTGGGGAGGAGCCGTTTGTCCCCGGTGACGCACAGCACCCTGACCCTGCTTCAGCCCCACCAGAGGCCCGCGCCCCGCCAGGCAGAGGGAGGGGGGTGGCTGCTCTAGGACTGCGCGCGCCCGCGCCCGCGGGCGCGCCTGCCGCCACGCCCGCGTGCCGGCGGCGCGGGGCCTCGGAGGAGCGGGTTGGTCCGGGTGGTCCCTTGGGGGCCTCCAGGGTACACGCCCCCTCTGTTGGAGTGACCCCGGGGAGGTCCGCAGCGGGGAGCTGGCGGGGAGCCCTGCGCAGGGAGGGCCGGCAGGGTCTGGGGCGGAAGCGGAGCTATCCCTGCCGAGCAGGTGGGAAGTCGGCGGCGGCCTCGGGAGTGGGTTGTGGTCCCGCTGCCAGAGTGACCGGTGGAGTCCGAGGGTGAGGAGGGTGTGATGGCCCAGGGGGTGACGCTAGGCACCGGGCCAGGACCAGCCTTCTGGGGGCGCCCGGGTGGTCTGTTGGTGCAGAGGACAAGGGGACGCGGCCACCTTGGTGCTTATTCCTCGCCTGAAACTTTTACCTGTTCTTTCTTTCTGACACTTGGAGCCCCTGATGACCTCGGTGACCTTTGCTGGGGCTCCCGGCTTCCTCTTGGCCCGTCCCCCGCCACCTGGGGAGACCCCCGGCGGGCTGCAAGGCCCCTGTGCAGGAAGAGGCAGACTGGGCGGGACAGACGCCCGGAGAGCTCCCGACGGAAGACGTCTGGGTCTCTCCGGCAGTGCTGCCGTGCGGCCTTGGCCTTGGCCTTGTCCTGGGGGAAGGTGAGGGGTCTGGGGCGTGCCGGATCCTTACGGAGCAAAAGGCCCAGTGTGTAAAAAAAAAAAAAGTAAAAAACAAAAAAAAGCTGTCGATACCATAGCCATGGTAGGTAATCCACATTGGATATCAATAAGGACCACGGGGAAATATTTAAAAGAGAGAAAAGTATATATATATATAAAATTATATACACATTTTATCGTACAGATTTTTCGTAACTTTTTTCCTGTTTTTACTGTAAATCCCTAATCGAGCAGAGCTGCGGTTGGAGTAGGGGGGGTGGGGGCCGGGGGCTGTCGCCGCTGCCTGCTGCCCTCAGGAGTGCTGGCGCCCTGCATGCCCCCCCCCCCCGCCCCTGCCCAGAGGGGGCTTCTGTCACCGCCCGGTGCACCTCGCCATGCCTGCCCGCTCCTGGGGACCAGGGGCCAGGGAAGGAAGACCGGAGCATTCTCTCATGCCTTTCCTTTCAGCTCGTTGAGATTTCATTGTCCCCGTTTTAATATATGGATTTGTTTTATTTAAAAGGCAAGGATCTCTGTCCCTTGGGTTTGTTTTCCTGATTCTTGTGCTTCAGACTCGGGGTCCTTCCCGAGGGAGGCAGACTCTGTCCTCCCAGGGGGCAAGGCCTCCCATTTCCTGGCCTTGGTCACTCAGCTGTTCCATTTCAATATTTATTTTTGTGCTGCTTTTATCATGGTATAAATTATTGAGAAGAGACCCCACGTCGTGGTCCTTGTCCGTATGACATGTGCCCTGCGCCTGCCCTGTCCCCTCACGGCCACCACCTAATTTATTGCTGTACATCTCTGCTGTGACGCTTTTGTACCTTTGCAATAAAGAGTTTTCTGGTTTCAGACCCGCCTGGTCTTGTGATTGGTGCTTTGGGTCGAGTCCTCGAGTGCAGGGGCCGTGAGTGTGCTGGGCCGCTGCACCCCCCCCCATCCCAGCCCCCGACCCGGCCGCCCTCCCCTGCGATGGGTCTCCTTGGCTCCGGGGTCCGTCCGGTCAGCCACGGTGCGTGCAGGGGGTCAGGCTGGCAGAGCTGGCCAGCTGGCCTTCTGAATGGTGGGCACCATTCCTGAGGGTCCCATCCACCGAGACCAGGAGCCCCCCAGCCCTTGGGCAGCCCTCCCTCTCCAGCTGGGGCTGCTCCCTCCCACCCCCCCGGCGGCCTGTGCCCCCGTCTCAGGCCAGGTCTTACGGGAGGTGGGGAGAGAGACGTCCTGCCCGGGGTGGGCAGCGAGGGGCCCTGCCCGGTAGCCTAAAGGAAGTGGAGTGGAGGGCCCATCCTCTGGGGACACTGTCCCCTCCTCACCGGTCTTCCCTTCCCACTGTTCCTCCAAGGGGTAGACGTGTCCGAGCTCAGAGGGCGGGCTGGTGGGTGCGGCCTTAGGGTCTCCAAGCCCCGCCAGCCCTCCCGCCACACCTCTGCCTGAGCTGACAGGGTGGCTCCTGCGGTCGCTTGTGGGCAGCGTGCTTCAGCGCCAGCGCCTTGGCTCTAACCTCTGAGTGACGGAGGGCCCGTTCCCTCCCCTTTCTAGCCGAGCGCTCCCTTCTGTGAACTCGGCAGGGGGCCGAGTGTGCCAGCACGATGGGGTCACCGTGGCCCACGGCTAGGCCAGACGCCCCCGAAGCCCGGCCTGTGCCTCCGGCGAGAGCCCTGGGGCGGCCAGGTGACCGCAGCTGGCAGCAAGCTTGTGGGTATGAGCTGGGGAGGCACGGACCCCAGCCCTGTTCCGGGCCCCTGGGAAGTAAGAGGTACCCCTCTGCCCCGCCCTGGCCACCCACCTCTCCAGGCTGCCTCCTTGGTGTTGGATTGTTGGGGCCATTTCCCACATGAGAGCACGGAGGCCGGGATAAGTTAGATAAGCCGGCCGCTCCTGGCCCTGTGCGGTGGGGCCCAGAACCGGAAGCCGGCCCTGCTGTCCTAGGTGGTGAGACGTGCCTCCTTCCGCTCCTCCTCCAGAGCACCCAAGCTCCCCCCTGGCGGACGAGACCGGTGAGGGGGGTGCAGCGGCTTTGACCTTGAGGCTCTGTGCTCCCCTGTGGGTGTCCAGGAGAAGCGGGGTCTGGTCTGGGCACAGGTGTCTGTAGGGGCTGGACAGGTGGGAGAGCTGGCCTTTGGGAGGCTGGTCTGCCTCCTGCCGGCTCTGTGACCTCAGGCAAGTGGCTTAACCTCTCTGGGCCTTCGTCACCTTCCCTGCGGCTGTCGTGAGGACTAAGCGTAGGCCGGGTCCTACAGTGGGTGCTCGGTAAACGTGGACTCCCCTCACCCCAAAGTGCCAGGCTGACCAGGCTGCCCCCAGCGCACAGGCCTGGCCTGAGGGCGCCCCTGCGGCCGGGAGCCCGCAGTGCGTCTGGTCTTTTGAAGGGGGTCTTGGCCCACTTACCCTGTGCACATAGCCTTAGGCACCTTGGGCCCTAAAGGGGTGGCCCTTCCCGGGCACGGGCCTCTAGGGCAGCCCCCTCCTTCGCTCATGGTGGGGCTGGCACCTTGTCTCGCCTCCTCCAGACAGCCTCCAGCCGTGGTCCACAGGTCTCTGCAGGAGGAGCCACGCCTGTCCCCAAACCTGCTGACTGCAGCCTGTGGGGCCTGAGCTGGGCGGACTCTGGTCCGCCAACTGCAGAGGGCATGATAAGGCGGGTGGGGGCCTCGCTTGGGGAGGCAGCCTGGCCTATCTCGTCGGGCAGCCCATCCGGGCCCTTGGAGAGGCTGTGGCCTTGAGTCCCGTGTCTCCAGGCCTAGGGAGGAAGGAGGCCGCGGGGTGAGCCCACGCTGGTAGTTGACTCCTGCCCTGCGGGGTGTCTCGACCCTCAGCGCCTTGCCCTCTTTCCCTAGTGATGGGTTGGGAGGTTGTCACTGGGTGGCGCCCACCAGGCCGCTCTTGCCCGGCCTGCGGCCCTGGCTCCCCACACCCGCGGGCCCCTGCCCACGCCCCCTCCCAGACACAGGCCTTCCCGGAGGCCTCCCCACCCCACTGGCTGCTTCTGGCCCCTCTTTCATGTTTCCCAGGCCGCTCGGGCATGTCACAGCTTCTGGATGGCAGGGCCTGTGTCTCTCGGGGTGCTGGCCTGGCGCACAGGAAGAGAGAAGGACGAGGGAAGGCAGGCTCCAGGTGTGACCCGTCTGTGCCCTGTGCCCTCTCCGGGCTTGCGTCCGTGGCCTTCATCCACCCACCGAGGGCGGGCTGGCAGGAGGCCCATCTTAGGGAGGAAGGTGAGCACGACCCTGGGTCTCTCGGGGCCACAGGGCAGGGCGCTCCGTCCACGCGTGAGCTCTTTGCCCTGCTCTGAGCGTCGCCCGGGACACTTGCCCCGACACCCAGACTTAGCACAGTGGCGCTCCCGTGACCACCCACCGGGCGCCGACCCTGCAGGAACAGAGGCCACGGGAGTCACTAGAAAACGCAGGCTGTTTATGTATAAATAGGTGATGCCCCCAGGAGCCCCACACGCTTCGCAGGCTGCCCAGGGTGAAGGTTCTGTGCAGGTGGCCCCGGGCACCTCCCAGAGCCTCCTCAGGCACGCCTTCCCCGGGTGGGGGCTTTTCAGGAGTCCCCAGGGCTGGAGGGGGTGCAAAGCAGCTCTGCCCAGCCCAGTCCCCTGCCCCCACCGGCCCGTAGCGCCTACAGCTCCGGTGTCCTCAGGCCGGGGCTGCCTCGCTCTCCCAGGGCCCAGAGTGAGGTCCGTCCATCCGCCCCTGCCCTACCGGTGCCTGCCTCACGACAGCCCCGTGACGGCCAGGTGAGCCCGGTGGGTTCCCTGTTCGCCAGATAAACTCAGGCGCCCTCTCCTGGGGCCACGGGCCTGCTGGCGGGAGGAAGGCTGGGAAGTGGTGCCACCGGCCTGGCACCAGGGCTCCCAGGAGGGGCTTCACCTTTGGCAAGAGGGTGAGGGGCCCTGTGCTTTCCCAGAGGCCTGGGCAGCCTGGTCCAGGCAGGCGGCCGGGGACCCCCGTGGCCCTCCTACAGGTCCTCTGCGGGGATCAGCATTCTCTTCTCCACGTTGCGACTCTTCCTGAGGCCGCCAGAGCCTCCGGCCACACTGGGGTGGGCACCAGGGCTCGGGGCCTCGTGAGTGGCCTGCTGGGTGTAGTGCTGATAGGCGGGTGAGAAGTTGTGGACGGCGTCCTGCACGATGTCCTGTGGGCTCATGGTCTCCTTGAGGCCGCTGGAGATGCTGTGCATGGGTGCCTCGGGGGCTGGGGGCAGACAGCACGTGGGTGGGGCCAGGGCACCCTGGACCTGTTCCACCCCCCCCCGCCCCCCCCCCCCCGCCGCCACCCCCCATCGGGGGCCTGGGCCCTGGGGACACGGCCCTGCCCCCACCGGCCTCGGGGCTGCCCAGGGCTGGGGTCTGGCGTCCCCAGGCCCCGGGCTCGGCCAGTAGGGGGCACTTCAGGACCTCTGAATCCCAGCCTGGCTCCTCTACCCTGGGACTGTCCCAGCCGGGACTCCCCAGGGGCCACAGGGGGAATCCGCCCAGGCTGGCTCCTGTCTTCTCTCCGGCCTACAGTGAGCCCTTCACACTTGTCACTTTAGGCTGCTGGAGCGGCCGCAGGCCATCTGTGCCGCTGAGCGTCGTTCGCTAGGGATGCCCGGGGCCCAGGGGCCCAGACGTCCAGTCCAGCCATTTCACCCCGAGCTCGGAGCCGTGCACCTCGCTGCCCCTGGGCCAGAAGCAGACGCCACACCCGTCTAGCCCCTGATGGGGCTGTCTCCCTGTCCGTGTGGCTGACATCCCCTGGGCCCGCGCAGGAGGGCGGGACAGAGATGTGGTGCAGCCAGAGGCAGGCGGGGCTGTCTGGGCCCGTCAGCAGGCCCTCGGCACACCCCCACCCCCCGTGGGGCCCGCGTACCTGGCGAGCTCTCCTTCTCCGCGTAGACCTGGACGGTGAAGGCGTAGCGCAGGGCGATGGAGGCAAACAGCATCTCGATGCAGATGATGAAGTCCTGGTAGCCTGCGGCCAGCGTGCCGGCCCCTACCTTGCTCCCGTCGATGCCCTGGGCCTCAGGGATGACCCCACACTTCTCCAGGATGGCCAGCAGCATCCCTGGGGGGTGGTGACAGCCGCTCAGGCACCCGCCCTACACGGGCCTTGTGAGCTCAGCGGGATCTGCAGAGGGGACGAGGGTCAGGCCCTGGGACGTCCCATCCGTGTGGTCCTGTCCCACGGTGGGGGTTGGGGGGTGGCTGACATTCACGGGGAGGGGTGCCTCCAAAGCCAAGTTCTCAGCACGGTGGCCATCTGGGCGCTCCCCAAGCATCTGCCCTGACCTCCCTGGTCCCAGAGCTGGGGCCCGCCTGACACTTACCCCCCACCCCCGCCTCTGCGGGTGGGGCCTGGGGGTGTCCCCAACCTGGCCCAGGGCCTCTGCCTGTCCGTTCCATCCACTACAGGCCAGACCGACTGGACAGGGACTCGATATTTCTCCTGTGCCAGGGGCTGTGTGGCTTCTGGCTGAGGGAGCGGTAGTACTGACCTGTGCTACAACCAGAGAGACTGAGGCCAGGCCTAAGGGCACCCGGGGAACAGGGGCGGAGATGGGGTTGGGACAGGCTCTGGGCTCCAGCCCCTGCCCCAGCAGCCCACCCACCCTGCCAGAAAGAGAGGAAGATGACGGCCTTGATGGTGAAGAACTTGAGGACAGGCTCGAAGGGCTGCAGGAGCTCCCTGGTGGCCAAGTAGAAAAGGAACAGGGCGTAGAGGGCCAGGCTGACAGAGACGTTGTAGACCAGGGTGATGTAGAGGTAGCCGCTGTGGATGCTGGGGCCAGAGCAGGGGTCGGGGGTCAGGGCAAGACCCTGCCCGCGCCCTCCCCACTGTCTCGGCCGAATCACTGGCCCGTGCGCTCCAGCCTGGGCACCGACAGTGACCCAGACCCGGACCTTCCCTGCGTGGCAGGCGGACGGTACCCAAGAGCAACAGCGAGGGAGCTGGGGTGCCCCACCACAGCGGTGAGGAGGTAGCCTTTTTCCCTGTGAAACCCTGTGTCCCTCTTCCTCTGTCCACCTGGGCACGGCCTGCGGGAGCGGGCCTCTACCTTGTGGACACACGGGCGGGTGTACGTGAACATGCGTGTGCATGTTGGTGTGACCTGTGGGTGTGTGTTCACGTGCACATGTCAGCGTTGCGTGCGCATAAGCATGTGAGCTGGGTCCGTGCGTGTGCATGGGCTGGCGTGGGTGTGGACGCGTGCGTGCGAGCTGGGTCTGTGTGTGCCTGTGCGTGTGCACGGGCTGGCGTGGGCGTGGACCTGGCACAGGGCTCCTGGTACCAGGGAGGTCCCCGGCGGCGCCCCGTGCCTGAGTGCCTTAACCCCCCCACCTCGTTCTCCTCCGGGTGGGCCGGCTGCAGGCTGCGAGGTCCTGGGGTCCTTGGCACACGCGGGTCTGCCTGCCACGGCCTTGCCCTGGCGGGTTCCCGAGAGGAGGGCGAGGCCTGTCCGTTCATATGGGGACTTAACCCTGGGCTGAGCCCTCCCCCAGGCCCTGCCTGCCTCCGCCCAGCACGGTGCCCCCACCAGGCCGGGCCCGCCCCCTCCCCGCAGGCACATCGGCCTGGCCTTACTTGAAGTCCCCGTCGCGGTATTTGCCGAACGCCTGCAGGACGATGGTGACCACGGCCATGATGGGCTTCACGATGCAGAACTGCAGTGTGGCCTGGGTGGGGGAGGGGAGCGTGGGGGCGCTCAGGGCGGTGGCCGGGAGGGGAGGGCAGAGGCAGGCAAGACCCCCACTCACCTGCTTGCAGAAGCGAAGGAAGCCGATGGAGTAGGACATGCCCTGGAGGCAGCAGGTGCCGTAGATGCAGCTTGACCTGGGGTGACCAGTCCCTGAAGCAGGGCTCCAGGGGGACGCGTCCCCCAGACCCGCCCTGCTGCCCTGGGCGTGGAGGGAGAGGCTCCGGGGCGAGAGGCTTACCGGATGGGCTTCCCCCGAATCTCGGCCATGATGGCACTCTCACCCCCCAGGTACTGGAAACAGAGGCTCAGGAAGCTGTAAATGACAAAGGCTGCAGAGGGGCAGGGCAGGGCGGGCGGCAGTGAGCCTGGGCTCCCCGGGGACGCCCGGCTGCAGGAGGGCTTTCTGACCCCCTGTGTGCCCACGCCCAGGACCCTCACTCAGCTTTGGGAGCCCACGCCATCCCCGGTGACCCCGGGGCGGGCGGAGCCCTCAGCGGTCACTGAGGCAGCGATGCCCCACCCAGGGCCTGGACCCCGCCCTCCCATCCCGAATCCTGACCGTCAGGGGTCAGGCGTCAGGCGGCCGGTTCCCGCAGGGCTGGACCGGGCTGGACCGAGCCGTTCCCCGCCCCCTAGGGTGGGGTTCCCGGCCCCGGAGGGTGGGGTTCCGGAGCCGGCTGTGCGTCCCTCGGGCCCTCCCCGGAGCCAGGGGGCGCTCACCTTCATAGCAGTCACGCACCGAGGCGAAGTAGACGTAGTGCTGGTGGCCCCCCAGGAGGAGGAGGCTGAGCCAGGAGTCGAAGGCGTAGATGGGCACGATGAAGAGCAGGCGAATGATGTAGCGCTGCTCGTTGGGGACCGTGTAGGAGCGCAGGTGCAGGTAGATCTGGGCGGACAGAGCCAGGGAGGCGTGGGCGCGACGGGCCAGAGGGGCGGTGGGAGGCAGCAGCTAGGACTTCGCCGGGGGGCGGCAGCCCCTTCTTAGCGGACACGCGCACGCACGCACGCACGCACGCACTCGTGTGTTCACTCGTCCAAGGAGAATTTCCCTGGGGGAGGGGCCGTCCGTGGCCCCTGGGCGGGCAGTTTGGCATTTCAGCGTGGCGGGCCGTCGCCGGGGCCGGTGCCCTGACCCGTTTCCGGGATTTGTCCCGCGGAGCGGATACGCGGCCGAGGGGCCAGGCTGCCCAGAGGAGCCCCACACAGCCAGCGGAGGGGGCGTCCCGAGATGCCCACGCGGGGACGTGCTCCAGGAGGTGCCGAGTAAACACCAGAAGACAAACCCAAGGACGGCCCCGCACGCCTTGGAAACGCAGGGCAGACCCAAAAGGAAAGATCCCTGTCTTTCCGCGACGGTAGGAAGATACAGGTGACCACTGTTTATCGATAAACCTTTCCTGATTTACCACGTCGTCTGTGAGGACGTGAAAAACCAGTGACAGGGTCTTCACGAGGAAGATGCACCAGGGAGCTGGGTATACAGGGCTGGCTGTGGTCCCACAGCACCTCTGGAAGGCTTCCCGGAGGAGGTGCCGTTCAGTGCCAGGCGGAGGGAGGGCAGTTGACGGGGAGGCTGTGTGTGGAGCCCCATGCGGACCCCGCAGGGAGTGGCGGGGGCGGGGGACAGGCTCCTTATCAGTCCCTCAGTCCCAGCTGGTGCAGTGGGAGGGGCCCGGCATGACCAGCCAGTAGGAGACGTGGATTCTGCCCGGTGCTGGCGCTGCCCGGCTGGGTGGCCTTGGCAAGTACTCCCTGTGTTCTCCGGCCTTGCCTTCCTGTCTTTAAAGCGAGAGGCTGAGTCTCCCTCTGTCCTTCTGGGCTCTGGAAGGACAGAGTCTAGCTGCCCTTGAGCTACAGGGGCCTGGCAGTGTGGGCGGGGACGGGAGCTGCGTTCCATGGTGGGGAGGGGGGGGTCCCTGACTGCCCTGTCTAGGCGGTGGGGACCCAGGAAGCGCACGCGCGCGCACACACACACACACACACACACACACAGTCGTCAGCGCTGCAGAAGGTTAGGGTTACACAGACGGGGAAGCCGAGACCCGGACACCCGGACCCAGGACTCCTCTGCTCTCTGCTCTATAAATCACAGCCTCCCCAAGACCCAACACCGTTCCTCCACCGAGGAGTAGGCACCACCCGCCTGTGCGGTCTACCTGTCCAGGGGCGGTGCAAACACTGCCTCCTCCAGGCTGTCCTCCCTGATGGCCCCTGCCGCTCTCAGCTGCCCTGTGCTCCACTGGCCCTCATCACACCCTTGTGTCTGCCATGTATTGTGATTTGAGGCCACACAGCAGGCAGCTCTCATCGAGATGGGAGTCTCTCACCCTTCCGTGCCTTGGAGGCCTCTGGGCCACCCACCCCCCTGCCTGCTGGCCCGGAGCCCCCGCCAGTTGTTTCCTCCCCCAGTGCCGGCTGCACTACCCTGCAGGCCAGCTCTGCTCTCGGCACTGCCCCCCCATCACAACCCCCCCCCCCGCCGCCTTCTCTGGCTCCCACACCCCCCAGGCTGAAAGCCAAACTGCTCTTCTGCGTCCTGAGTGCCCTCTGCCCAGACGGCCGGCTCCCTGGCCTCCCACCTCGCTGTCGCCCCGGTGCCTCCCCGAATGTCCGTTCTCCACTGCCCGGCCCCTGCACTCAGACCCAAGACCTGCTGCCCGGGCCCGTTCTTCCTCGCTGCTGGGCGCGGCCATCACCCCTCTGGGGGGCTGCCCCGTCTGCCGGGGGTTGTCACCGCCTGGGGCCGGGGGCTCCTCTGCTTCCCTGAATCTGAGGGGGCGGCCCCCCGACGCCCTGTCCTCCCAGCCCAGCTCTGTCCCTGGCACAGACCTCCCATCCCTGGCTCCCACACGCCACGTTCTAGACAAGGCCCCCTCCCCTGCCCCTGTGCCCTGGCCTGCTGCCGCCTCTGATGTCTGCCCCAAGCTCGTGGCTGGAGGTCCCAGATGCCAGCAGGGCCAGCCAGGACCACGTCCCACGGAGAGCGGGGACCCGGAGACGCAGAGGGGAGGGTTTACCTGGTGGCAGGTGAGCACCAGGGCGGTCCACACAAAGACCCCCGAGATGCCGCGGGCCAGCGCGGTGGTGAGGAAGAGCCGGGAGGCGCCCTGGGAGCTGTTCCCCATGCGGTCCATCTGCAGCCCGGCGGGCACGGTGGGCACAGCCGGCCCGGGGCTGGGCCGTGGCCATGTTCCCAGGAGCCCCGAGGCGTTAGTCATCTGCAGAGGTGAGAGAGGATGCGGGGAGGAGCGAGGGCAAAGGTGCGCCCAGGCGGCTGGGAGCAGCCCCGGAGCAGCCCAGGGAGGAGGGAGCGGGGGCAGGGAGGGGGCAGCCGTCGCTGCAGGCGGAGCCGGAGTCTGACCGGCTGGCCCGCTCCCCTGACCCCGGGCAGCCCTGGGCAGCTCCGTGCACGGGAACTCGGCTCCAAGGCCTGGGCCCGGGACGCCCTCCTTCCCTGGGGTGGTGCCCGCCTCCACTGCTCGGGTTTGCGGGGACCCCACACGTTAGGGGCCGGAGGTGTCTGGGAAAGTGGGGGAGCCCCTGTTGCCCTGGCTGCCCGGGGTGGAGTCGGACAGCACTGCCCGCGGCAGCCGATGGGGAGTTCGGCCCGGCACCCACCGGCTCCCCGGAACCTGCCGGACTGTCGGGGTGCCAGCTTTGCTGCGGGGCCGTTCTCTGCCCCGAGCCCGCTCGCCGGCCCCGGATGCCGGTTCTCCAGCTGCTTGCCGGCCACCTGGGGCACCGGGCACCTCCCCCTCTCCCACCCAGGCCTTCCCTGGCCTCTCCCCCTCCCTCCGGCCCCACCGTAGCGACCCAGCGCCTACCTCTCAGGCAGGAAGCTCAGGCCCGGCCCTGGGAGGCCCGGCCTCCAGGGAAGCCTGGCTGGTCATTTGTGTGGCCACGTGGCCCTGGTGGCAGCCCCACGGGGGTGGGGAAGGGCTGCTATCTGGAGGCCCTATCGGGCTTGGGGAGGGGCGGCCACAGCCTCCTCTCCAGGGTAGCCCACCTGCGCTGCCGCCTGCGGGGAGGGGCCCAGCAGGAGTGGGAGGAGCTGAGGCCTGTCCCTTCCCCCCCGCGGTTGACATTCTATCTTGGCCGCTGGCAGCTGGCTCCCAGGATCCTACAGGCCGCCAGGTGCCCTCACCTGCCTGTGCCAGCCGGTCAGGTGGCTCCTGCCTGGGCCCCAGGCGGCCAGGAGGGGTCTCGGTGGGTGGGGTGGGCGTGGGCTGCGTGGGGCCACGGGTTTCCGTGTGGGGCGATGACAAAGTTGTGGACCGAGGTAGGCAGGCCGCTGCACTCAATGCGGTGAAACGGTTTGCTTCAAGGATGGGTGAATTTGCGTTGTGAGAATCTCACCCTGTCCCCCACAGGTACGCTGGAAACACTCCAGGGTGGAGGGGTGGAGGGGTGGAGGGGGACAGACAGGTCACTGGGCTCGCTGGGGGGTCTGGCTTCTGCTGCCCTGGGCTCAACCCTGAGTCCAGAGGCCCTCTGGGGAACGGCTGTCTGCTGTGTCTCTGGAGGGGGCGTTGGGGCCGGGGCCATACTCTGGTCGCAGACGCGTTCATGCTGCGGCCGTGGGTACCAGGACCAAGTGCCTGCTCTGTGCCCGTGATGGGGACACCCCGTCCGTGTCCTCTGTGCCACCTAACACTCCCCGCAGACCTGGGCGATGGGGCCAAGGGCTGAATTGTTGGAACTACCGTTCCCTTTTAGATGTGGGGGTGGGGGGCTCAGAGAGGTTCATCCCCGTGTCTGCGGCCCCACCCCTGCACACACCAGCCCCGGGGGAGCCCCCCGAGGACAGGCCTTGCCTGAGTCTGCCCCCCACTCTGCATCACCCCCAGCGGGCCTCCTCTGAGCACTGCCTGGAGCCTTCCACACCGACCTTTCTCCCAGCAGTCCCCTCGTCCCGCAGGCTCGCATGTCACCCACTCGGTCCTGTCCCCTCTTCAAATCCCACTTCTGTCCACCTGTTGGCTTTCTGCTGCCCCCCCCCCCGCCCCCTGCACAGGGGCTGCCGTGCCCATCCCCGGACGTGGGGGGTAGGCAGTCTGGTGTGCCCTGATCCCTCGATGCCAGCTCCCAGCCGGTGCCCCGGGACCCGCAGGAGCGTCCGTCGGTGTGTGCAGGGTGCTGCTGCCGGCCGTGGACGTGGCTGTCATCTTTATGGGGCAATTCTGGAGGTAGCACCCATCATCGCCCCTGGTGACAACAGCTTGGGGACCCTCGAGGGGACTCCTTCCCAGGCTGCTGCTGGAGTGACTAGGAATGCAGCAGGGGCACTGTGGTTAGATGTCAGAAGGACTTCCTAGCTGGAGTCAGCAGGCCCAGGCCTCTGGGAGGGCACTGAAGGGCCTGGCTTTGGGGAGGCTCGAGGCCCGGACCCTGGACCCAGACGGAGGGACTTTCCAAGCGCCGCCTTCTCAAAGGCAGAAACACTGTGGGGCACAGCGGCAGGTGGGGGCAAGGCATCCGGGATCCTCTTCTGCCCAAGGCCACCCCTGCTCATTCAGCGGAGGCCAGGTCTGCCCTCAAGTTTTCTTGTTCAGCCACTGCCTCCAGGAAGGCCTCCAGGGGTCCCCACTCCAGGGCCTCCTGCACACTCTGGGAAATGGCTGTGCTCAGGGGCCTTCCTACCAGTGCCAGCCACGCGTGCCCTTTAGAAGCCTGGGACCCTGCGAGGTGGGGGCCATCCCCTCCCCTCCTTCTCCGGTTCCTGACCTCTCGCTCAGGGGGCAGCCCCGGCCCTCAGGGCCTTGTTCTGCCCATGCCCTGGGCGGTCACCTTAGCAGAGACCTTCACCCCCCTGGGCCTTTGCTTTCTCATCTGTGCGGACGAGTCTGAGTTCTCCCGCCGCTCCTTGGGGTACGGCCTGTCGTACACCTGCCGTCACTGGGGGCCTGGGACAACCCCCCTCGGCCTGCTCTCAGTTCAGGGAAAGGGTCCGGCCCCAGGACTCTCCCTGGAGAGAAGGAGCCTGCGTGGGTGGGGCATGGGAGGGCGGCAGGGGAAGGAGCCGGGTGGGGGCTGGGGTTCGGCCCTGGGGGCGTGGGGGCCAGGACGGCTGATTCCTCAGCACCTGGCTGCCCGTGGGGCTGTTTGAATGTGGCCCCACCCCTGGCCGCGGGTGTCACGGTCCACGCACACTCAGGAGAGGTGGCGGGCCGGCCCGGCCTGATTTCCCTGCCTGGGGCTGGACGCTGACCGAGCCTGTCACAGGACGGACCTGCCTGCCCAGATCCGGGCAGCCAGGGCCTCTGACCCCTGTCTACATTGACCACGTGCCTGGACTCCCGGCAGGTCCTGGCTGGGCTGTGGGGCGGCTGAGACCTGGGAGCCCTCATCCCCACGCCTGCCCTTCACCGCTGATGACCCACGGCCCGTGTCTCCTTGGCCTTCCTGCTGGCCCTGGCCCTCCTTCCTCACCTGCCCTGCCAGGCCAGCCCCCTTCTCAGACGGGCCGCCCCCTGGGAACATCACTGAAGGCTCGCAGCCCCTTCCCTGCCCCCCACCCCCACCCCTGGGCAGGCAGAGGCAGGGCTGGGGCACGGCGGTGGGGGCATCGAGACACCTCGCTCCCCCCCAGGCCGGCCGCATCGGAGTCCTCTGACTCTCCCGGGGGCCCTCCCTGCCTGGCGCCCGGGGAGTGGCAGACAGGGTTTGCCACGAGCTTTTCTTACAGCCCACGCGGCTGTTGACTCAACTAATACCCACCGTGGCCTGGGGCCTGGGGTGACTGGACTGGGGCCGCTGGTAGCCAAGGGTCCCGGGGGCTCAGGCCTTTATGCCACTCGTGTGGGAGCTGGGAGAAGTGGGGCAGTGGCGGGGCCTCTGTGGCCCTGTCGCTTTGGCTGCGGAAGGGACCTACTAGCCGGGGCCCCGAGCCGCTCCTCCCTCCCTCTGGGCCCCGGGGGGATGGGGGCGGCGGGTCCTTCCAGCTCTCATTCCGGGCCCCCTCACACGCTTGGGTGAGCAGGGAGGCTCCGGGACGCTGGCTCCTGACCTGGGCCAGACGCACCGGGGTGGGACCCTGATGCGCCGCTCTCTGTGTCCGTGACCTTGGGCAGACCCTGGTTCTCTCTGAACCTCGGTTCCCTCTGTGTTTGGAGCCTCCGCGTGCCCCGGGCTCCCTGTCACCTGTTTCTCTTGGAGGTGGCCACAGGCCGCGGGAGCCCAAGACAGCCCAAGACGGCCGTCTCAGTCCTGCTGTCCTGCCAGCCAGGTCGCCTGCCGTAGGCTTCTCTCGTCATCTGGGCCAATCAGCCCCGGGGGACCCCAGCGTGGGATCTGGGGGCCTCCCTCCCTTCCTCTGGGGCTCCCCCGTCCTTCCTGCGCATTCCCGGGCGGCCCCCTCCTCTGTGCCACCTCCGTCCCCAGAGAGAAGCTACGTGTGCCCAGGGCCTGCCTGTACCTGCCTGTTGCCCCAGAGGTAGCTGGCTGTCCTGGGTGTGTACCTGGAGGCCCTCCTCCGTCTCTATGCGGGGCTGGGGTGGGGTGCTGACCTGAGGACCCTTTCTGGCTACGAGGTGGCATCCTGGGGCCTGCCCAGGCCCTGTCCTCTTGAGAGGAGGAGTGGGGCACAGACGCTGGGACTCCCAGAATTTCAAGGTGTGGGCGTTTTTCTCTGAGAGCCCCTGCCCCACTGGAGTGAACGGGACCCCGGCCTGGACCCCTCACCCCTCCCGTGAACTGGGGCCCACAGCTCACCTCCATGGCGGCTCCTTCGGCTGTCCGGCCGGGCCCCTCGAGCAGCTCGGCGGCGGGGCCCCAGGCCGGGGAGGGGTGGCCGGGATGTCCAGCCCCACGGTGAGGCCTCCGGACCTCCGCGGTTCCTCCTCACGGCAGCCAGGGTCGGTCTGAGACGCTGTTGCTTCTGGGGAAGTCCTGGCCTTTCCCTGGACCCAGAAAACTCCTCCTTGCTGCCTGCCCACCTTGCCGGACCGGCCCTGCCTGCTGGGATGCCGTCCGGGGCCACACCCTCTGCCCTGCCCTGCCACCGTCCAGCGGGGGCCACAAGCTGGCCTCAGGGTCCCTGCCATCTGGGTGTGGATCTCGTCGGGACCACTGACCCCCGTGGCTGCATCGCTAGTCTGTGTGGGCGGGAGTCTGACGCCCACCTCCTCTGGTGCAGCGAGGGTTGAATGGGGCGATGCTGTGGCCCCAGTCCCACTGGCTTCACCTGCACAGCCCTGAACCTTGGTCTTCCCGGCTGCGAAGGGGGATCAGGGGTCCGTGTGCTCCTAGGTCGTGTGCAGGTTGAGCGTGGGGCCTGCACAGCCCGTGAGCCGGCGCAGCCTGGGACTTCCTGTGGTTTCTCGGAGACCTCTGTTTCTCTCAGCGTCTCTCCCCCTCCCCTCCTTCCAGCTGCCTCCCTACTTTGGCCCGACAGATCGCAAGGCCCAGGAATCGAGGTGGCCCGCGGGGTCCCCACCTGCCTTCACAACGGATGGGCTCCTGTCCCTGAGCAGCCCAGCGCAGAGGTCGCAGCGCGCCTCCTCCAGAGACGTGGACCCCTAAGACTATCGGCCACCGGCTCTCTGGCCTCTGGCCTGGGCTTCCTGGGGCCCACGGAGACACGGTCCCCATCAAAATGTCCCCAGACGTGGGCTTTCTCCCGAAAGCCCCCCCCCCCCGCACCCCGTCCCGGGGGCTTCGGGGCCTCCCATCCTGTCACAGACCTCAGGGATTGATGCGTCCTCGCTTCCCACGAGCCAGTCCTCACCCCCCGCGACAACGTCTGCGTGCTTCCTGTTGGGACGTGCACTAGCAGACCGCGGCGCAGAGCGCCTCCCTGCCGTCGTCCCCTGGGCACTCAGGGCCCTCGGATTTCACTCATCCATGGGCATCGTCTTGGCCACTTACCCGCGTGCCCCCCTCCTGGTTTCCAACTTCACTGCAGGGCGTTAACGGAAGAGCCGGTCCCGCGAGCAGTGTCTGATGCCCCCGGTTAGTTGTCCTGCCTGGTTTAGGGGGGACCGGGGCTCTGTCAAAGCCCTGGATAAGCAGCTCGGGGTGACAGCAGACAGCGGCCACCCTCCCTGGCTTCTCTTGACCCCCAAGGGCACCTGCCGGCCCTTGGCTCGGAGCTGGAACCATGCCCCCACATCCTCTAAGGAACAGGGGGGGCGTGCGAGGGAGGGGCCTGGGGGTCTCCACGTGCAGCTCAGTGGCGCTGGGCCGGCCAGATCGTGCCCTGTCGACCAAGGGCACGGCCTTGACAAAGGAGCCTCGTCTGGCAGTCTGGGCTGCAGGGGCTGGCAAACTGGCCCGAAACGAAGATCATGATTCACGCTGGGCCACAAATCACTGCAAGGCCGAACTGCAGTCTGACCGCTGGGTAAGCGCCACCCGCGTCCACGTCCGGGGAGCACACAGCCCCGCCTGCGGAAACCGAGGCTTCGCGGTCTCTGTCGAGTGCGTCCCTCTCCCCCAGAATCGTCGCAGCCGGGAGGGCCCGGCCGCGGCAAAGGGCAGAGTCACGTGCCTGCATTTGCAGGGCAGGGCGGCTTCCGGGCCGGGAGCCTCGAGTGTCGGTCTGTGTTTTACGAGCTTCGGGCCGCTGTCGATGACTTGAGGAAGGTGCTGGGGGCCTGGTTTCCATTACACGTCCACCGTCCAGGTGGGCGGCCGAGGGCCGGCACCGCCCCGTGTCCTCAGCCCGCGTCCGCCAGCGCGCCCCGGCCTCTTCTCAGGGCGGCCACGTGACTCCGCCTCGGTTTCCCCCTCTGGCACACGGGGGTGACCAGGGTGGCGACCTCCCTCCAGTCTGAGTGAGGGCCGAGAAGGGTGGGCCCCAGAGCCTGGCCACGGTGCCAAGCAGCACGTGTGTGAGTCCTGTTGCTGTGCATTTAGGGACCAAACAGAAAGCCAGAGGCTGCGGATCCGAAACCCAGGCTCAGACGGGACCCTACCCAAGCCTCAGGTCCCCTGCTTGTTACACGGGAGAAGTCATGACTTCACAGGGCAGACGCTGGTCCGAAGTGTTGACCTGAGGACACCAGGCCTCTGCTCCTGCTCTGGGGGGGCTGCCTCTCCGGGGGCCAGCTCCTCCCCTCCCACCTAAGGTCTCCCGTGCCCGCCCCCCGGGCCTCCTCGCTCTGGCCATGACATTACTGCCCACCCGTCAGGACACACGAGTCACCTTGGGGGTCCTCGTATGTGTGGAGATCCCTTCCCTTCTCCGGTCGGCTCCTGTGTCCTTAGAACCTGTGCTGGTCCCGGTCCCCCAAGCGGCCC